AACACAAACGCAGCATTGGTGGAAACCAGTGTCAACGTTGAAAGGTGTCGAACTTAAAGCCATTTACTCTGACCCAGCACCTGCTATCAGCATAGAGTGATTGGATGGTCCGTAGCAACTGGCCATCGATCCAATAGATTGTTGCGCGGGGTCCGGTCATAGGCTTTCTCTAGATCTATTAGGCACATAAACTGAATCAAGGAACGCCGAGGATACCAGTATTATCGACAATTTGGCCTCACGACGAATATCTTCTCAGATGTGCTTCACCCAGAAAGGAAGCCACGCTGCCCTTGTATTTCTGAGTCAGCTATTCTGCGACACTTCATTTTTAGCAACTTTGCTTAGACTTTACCCTGAAGGCTTAATAAGGCAGTGCCCCGATAATCCGAGTACTGCTTCGAAGCCATCGCTTGAACGCAACTTCGGCGGCAGCTAGTTGAATCTCTCGTGTCCACCAGGAAGTTCGTTTCTGACCTCTGTGTGACTGGCCAACCCATTTAAATCCACAGCATTTTGAAGTAGCCTCGAGTACGCCGCTCTTAGAGCTTCCACTCTGTTTCCACAAAAGTGGTCATAGCTGAAATCTGTTAAAACTTTCGTCCGATGTTTGCAAGATTCGTGAATGTTTCCTTGACAAAATTGATACTACTTCAGTTACAGTGTATTCCACCCACATATATAGGTATATATACAGGTTAGATACCCTTGATCTTGAAATATCTATACTTCCAATTAAAAAATGGCGAAATTAGCACTGTTATGTGCTCTCTGGAATCTGAGTTTTACAGGTGAACCAGCAGTTCGACAAAACATACACAGTAGAAGATGGAGTGCAGGGATAACTTTAGGCAGTCTGCTGTTCACGGGTTGCATAACATCAAGGAAAACGTGACAGGTTGAGCGGCGGCACAGCAAATCTTTCGTATGTTTAACTATAATAAAACAGTGAATTTCGAAAAATATTGAAATATTCAGCCATGAACTGGCGCTCCAATGGTTCTAGAGACACAACTTACCATCCTGATCATAATGTTTACTACTAGTGCCTGTTTAAGCCAAACTACATTGGGACAAGCAATGGCAGTAGCAGTTATAGCGGACTACCAGCCATCTAGTTCTTGAGAGTTTCAGAGTTCTAATCTAATCTTATTTAAATTTGCCTTTATGATGCTGTTTTTAACACAGTGAACTAGACAGATAAACTACCATCCAATGCTTTAGAGTGTATTTTATTAACCACGTTAAGGCATGATTGGTTGTATTTGATAGCAATGGTCGAAACACTAACAGACTTCGTTTCGCTTCAGGTGTCTCGTGCAACCTACTGCCATTACAATGGCATGTTTAAAAATTAATCTCCCTTTAAACAGCGACAGAACACAGTCTTTGGCAACAAGCCATATTTTAAAGATCACGTCAGAAAAAACTTCACACGCCATCCTGATCGATATCCGATTAATCCTTGTGGAAAATATTTCATAAACATTATACGGTGAGGTCTGACATTTTAGTTTGTCTCGTACATTAAATCACTTTCTAACACTGGTGAAATTTTATCTGCTCTTAGTTGAAAAAAAAGTAGCGTAAACAAAACTCAAAAACAAGTTTCATTAATTTAAAAGGTAGTCAAAGAAGTTTTATGCATAAAATAACCAATGTATTGTAATCTCAACAGATTCACTGGGCTGCAAAAGACTTTCTATTTCCAGTTATCGAACCCTGATGCTGTCGAGCATAAAATATCACCCTTTCAAGTACTGGACAAACATTTTTGGCTTTAAAATATGAACCCGAACTATAAAACAAAAACAACAGCGCTATGTGACATGAACAGCAAATTTCAATGCCAAAACGCGCAAAAACAACATCTGGCTGAAAACAACGGTCATTAAAGCTCACGTTAGTAGAATTTCGTCTTTTCGTTACGCAATCTAAATTAGAAACGGGTAACCGCAGTCATCATCGAAAGACACCGCCTACTTTTTGAACAACACAAAACCCAATACGAGACTCTGAACAATGATAACGAACGTGAACACCGACGGCGTAAGACAGTTTTCTTGAGCCATGACTGATTTCATCTAAAGTGATACATCAAGAGGTAAGAACGCATGTACTGAAGAAAGCAGGGTAATATGTAGCATAGAATATATAGCATAGCATATGTAACATAGTGCTGAAATTGAGATACTGCAAGACTATCAGAGGTTCATCTATTAGCTATAAGTTATTCGTTTCATGACTACTCAACAACGAAAGATTACAAGAAGATTGATGCTGGGAAAGTATCCGCTTTTAAACCTCATTCTTACTTAAGCACTCATGCCCCACTGTCGAAACAAGAACTCAAGAAGTGTTTACCTACTATCTATTCAGCCCAGTTCGACAGCTGTTTCCAGAACACATACGGTAAGACGATATGCACATTATTCATTCTCTGGAAATTAACAGAGTGGCTGAAAGTCATTCCATTGAATTTTATAGTCATCGTATGCTCCTCAATAGCACTGTTGTACATTGCATACGAGCTTCCGCAAACCTTATGGGTTGTTGGTCACTACTGCCACATAAGCAGACTGGTAAAAAGTTCATGA